TTTCCATCTTTCCAAGTCTAGCTTTATTTGTTTCAATAGTTTTGTATAGTTGTCTTCTTTTATTGACGAACATTTGGCTGGAAGATGTATCCCTAAGTATTTAACTTTTTTCACTATCTGTACCTCTGTTTTCTCTAGCATTTGCCTTTTCTGTTTATCTGTGAGATTCTTAACTATTACTTTAGTTTTTTCTTTATTTATTTTTAATCCCGCCATTTCTCCATACTCTTCTGTCTTTCCCCATAGTTTAGGGATCATCTCTAAAGGTTCTTCCAAACTATATACTAAATCATCAGCAAATGCTTGTAACTTATATGTTTCGTCTTTTATCTTCAATCTTTTGATTTCTGTGTCCTGTCTAATCCTTCTATTTAAAACTTCCAAAGTAAAAATAAATAATAATGGGGATAGTGGACACCCTTGCCTCGTGCCTTTTCTTATCTGAAAGCTCTCAGTATAGTCTCCATTCACAATCACTTTTGCTATCTGATTGCTTTAATTTCTAACTTAATGTCACTGATAATCAAAGATTGTCCCTTCCTGTCATATTTAAAATTATAATTTGGTGTCAGTTTTGAGGATCCACATTCAAAGTTTTGAAGGCTAATTATGTACTTTGAATTAGTCTTTTACATAAATATTAGATCCTATCAGCTGATCAGCCTGGGATGTCACTCCAGGATATCAAGCAACCTTACAAAGAAAAAGAATATTTAACATCAATGTTCCAAAGTGTATATTATTGTCATGTTTGAAAGCTAAGAACATCCAATTATAGCCTCTCTGTTTAAGCAGGGTCCAATTTTAGACTTTAGTTTTATTTATGCAATATTCAGCATTTGTATAGTAATGATGAAGCCATGGTAAATATATGGAACATAAAAAGAATTTGGTTTTGGAAATTTCCCAGTCTCCTTCACTGTAGCTACTTGACACCTGCTAAAGCTTTTCTGCAAAAGGAAGGGAAGATTGAAAAAGATGAAGCAAGATGAGTAAGGTTGGGGTGACCAAGGGAAACCATGCAAAATCAGGCTTGCATTTAAGATCTCAGAAAGAAAAATTCTGACCTCTTCAGCAGTTCTAATGAGAGATGCACTGATAACCAACAGGTTTCATTCATCAAGCAATAACCACTGAACTTCAAGAGCAGCTTAAAGGGCAGAAACAGAAGTCCAAAGAAACATGGGAAATGGAGAGGGGGGAGCAGTGGGAACAAACTGTCACAGGCATAATAAGTGATTGTACCTTGACTTAGATGTAGCAATTAAATGTATCATATGAGTTTGTTCTGTTTTAAAATACTCTTGCTAAATTGAGCTATATTGAGTATTGGACATTGTCAGACTTTTTGTATGTAATGCCCTTTTCTCCTATTTTTTGCCCTCACAAACAACCCTGTGTCTGGCCCAGAGATAAGTGAGCTTCTATGACTGAGGAGTTGCAAGAACCTGGGTCTCCGTGCTCTATTAAAGCACTTTAAGAGCCATGGTGATGCAGTGGTTAGAATGCAGTATTGTAAACTAACTCTGCTCACTGCTGGGAATTTGATCCCGACTGGCTCAAAGTTGACTCAGCCTTCCATCCTTCTGAGGTGGGTAAATGAGGACCCAGATTTGGGGGGGGGGCAATATGCTGACATATGTAAACTGGTCAGAGAGTTCTGTAAAGCACTGTGGAGTGGTATATAAGTCTAAGTGCTATTGCTATTGCTTAAGCACCACCATTGCAGTAGAAAAGAGGAGACTCTGATTTCTCCCTTGGCAGTTTCCAACATTGTTCTATAGCTCCTAATCCTGAACTTCCAGAAAGGCTTTTTGATGCAAATGACTCTAGGACAGAGGACATGGCTGTGAAATTTTCCTTTCAATAATTGATTGTGTCATTGGATTCAGGGGTAAAGAGGTGGTAATGGTGATGGTGGGAACTAAAACTGAATAGCTTATGAGAGAGCAGCTTAAGTTTGAAGTGAGAGCTGTTTCTGCAAGATATTAAGTTCATTTTCTCAGTCATTTCCTGCAGTTCTTGTGATGAATATTGATGCAATTCAAAGACCTTACACTTCTGAGGTTTGATTGTGGCAAGGTAATTATACTATTAAATGCAGTCTAAACTTGCCCATTTATTATTTGCAAACATTATACATTACTTCAGTCATTATTATAATGTCTGGATTATAATTGTTCATTCTTTCTAGGGGAAAAAACAGCACCTAAAGAAAACAAACAGAAGAATTTACAAATTTATTGAAAAGCTTGCTGCTAAAATGTATTTTGCTCATCTTTTGCATATTGGAGAGATATCTCTTCATAATTAGAAAGAAATAAGACATTAGGCAGAACTGTCTTATCTCATTCAGAATATAAAGGAGAAGCAGGAAAATATATAGAACAATTGGCTAGATATGTATGGAAGATGGAAGCTTCAAGAGGAAAAGTTAGCAATGGGTTAACTTACTGATTACAATTAAAACATGACAGAACTTTCAAAAAATAGCCAATTTGTTATTCAATATTTTTGAATGGAGCATTAGGATATTTCAGCCATTTCAAATTTATTTCATTTTAAATGCATTTATTTGCTTTTTTAAAAAAATATTTTTAAATATAGTTTTTAATTGGGAGGGTCCTTATATTCCACACAATCATACAATAGTTCCTGCTTCTGAAAAGATTGGTCATTTCTGCTCAGTATCCAATAGCTGAGCTTAATTTTAAGGCTTCATTATTGATGTCTTGCGATATATGTCTGTAACTTTATAGTTTTTTTATGCATATTAAAGTGTCTGCATATTCAAAACATTGTTAGTTCAATATTGGTCTTTCCCTAGGCTATACTTGTAATGATTCATAAAAAGCTTGCCACACAGAAAATGCATGTAGATGCCAATGTGCAACACATTAAATGTATCCAGACAAAAGTTTTGCTAGTCAATCTTACCCAAGCATTCTCTGAGTTACATTCCAATGAAATAATACAGCATTTGAATGTGGGACCTTCTCTCAGTCCTACATTGGGTGCTTGTAAAATTGGCAGAACTGGGGGAGTCATATGCCCTTTATTCATGATCTGAATGCTGCAAAAGACAAAATCAAATGTAAGATATTATTGTGATTAAACCAATACAACATTTATTATATATCATACTGTGGGTTCAAGGAGAAAGACCAAGAAAGAGGGCAATATGGCATTAAGAAAGAATGAAATACTCTTAGAACCTTTTCTGCATACAAATGACTAATGTAACTTCTCGATGTCAATATTTCTCCAGAAAAAAATCTGGCTCATCATCTTTTCACAATAAAGTGTTGGAACATAGTTTATCATGCCAATAGACAAGAATACACCTGCTGAATAAGTAAAATGTTCAAATTAATCACAATCAGTGCATGTTTCCCACATTGTATCTAGAGCAATCCTATTTTATTATGAAAAAAAGTACCTTGGGTTTTTTATTATCAGAAATATTTAATTATTTAATGTCCTGTTTTGAAATTACAGGAGAGACATATTCAAATTCTCTACCATGTTGTGCCAATTTTCTATCATCAAGGAAGAGATTTCAAAACATTATTATGCAAATTTGTCCCTGCCTAGTAGGCTAGTTGATACTATGATTAAACTAGGTACTGCAGTAATAGACAAATCCAAGAAACAATTCAAAATAGAAACAAAGTTATAACGTAAAATTATATTTTGGATTCACTGAAGTATATTCATTCTGGAATATTTAGGCACGTAGATAATCTGTTTTATATGGATTTCTTCAATATCTGAATTTATCCCAGGTAACAAGACTATATGATTTTTAATGACATAGTATGAATACCAGTTATTTAAAGCTATGATCATTTTGTATAAAAACAAAAAAACAAACCACATTTAAGTAAAAATATAGCTGAGTTTATTTTTTCTACCATGTACAGAAGTCTCCCTTTGCATTGGGGAGGGTGTGGATGAAGATATATTAGTTAGGGAGGGAAGAAACCTGCTAGTTTTCTTTCATAATTAATTCATTTTTCTGAGTTACAGCATTATTTATTATTAATAATCCGAAAACTTAATTAATTGTGCATAGGACTTGATCCTAACTGCATCATCAGAATGCTAAAATTTACAGCTATTGAAGCATAGGTATGACTGTTAGAATCAAGGAGAATATAGTTTTTATATACCACAGATGACGAACAATAGTTCCAGTTATGTTCCTGCTCAGATTCTAGAGTTTGCAGAAAAGTATTTCATTTAGTTTTGTAAAATATTTTATACATTTTCTATCAGTTTTCATTCAGTTTGAATGAATGCAAATTCATTCAATGAGTTTATTTTATCATATGGTTGTTGACTAGTGTGTCTGTAAATATTCTTACACTGTAGGCTGATCTTGCTGGTGGTCTTCTCCTCATTTTTTCAAGCTTCATTCAAATCCCGAGGAAAAAAATGTCATAAAAGAACACCTTCCATAGCACTTTTTCAGTGTGGAAACTGTTCATTCCAGCATGACACCAGAAAAATGGAAGAATGTTTTAGAGAAGGAGAGGGAGAGATGGATGGATGGATGAACGATAGATGGATGAATGATAGATGGATAGATAGATGATAGATAGATAGATAGATAGATAGATAGATAGATAGATAGATAGATAGATAGATAGATAGATAGATAGATGAGACCTATTGTAGTATAGTGGTTAAGGTGCCACACTAAAGCTAGAGTATAGAAACATGTCCAAACCCTTCTATGGCTGTTTTGCCAAGAATGTATCTAATGTAGCCTGACTCTTATTTACTTGCATACATTTTTGGGTTATAATAGAATATTTCCTCTTTCTTAGGGTGTATATGTGGTTCATCCTATAATGTCTTATTTCCATGCCAAAGTTGTCATTTGATTCTGAAAATAAATAATAGCAGTTCAATTACACCTCCCTCTCATTCCTCTATAATATCCTTCTGCTGATAGAATGATAAATAATTTATACACTGGGTCTTGCTTTTTTCAGATAAACAAAGCAAAATCACCCCAGTGGAAACTAATACTTTGGAATATTTGTGACTTCATAAGCAACCTGAACACTCCAGAAGAAGAAACAGGTGACCCTGAAGAAGATTTTATGATGAGAAGACAATTTGCTTCTACTTCTGAGAGCTTCACTTTGGAAGCAATGTTGACACTGTATCAGCTTCAAAAAGTCTGCCACACCAGAAACGTACAACAATGGGAGGTAATGTTAATAATTAGCATCTTATTATTTTATCTGATATTGTTTGCATTACAAGAATGTAGTTAATTATTTCCATTTGGATAATTACTTGGAAGCATATTTAGCAAGTTACTAGTGAAATCTATCATTTTAGCAAGCACAGGCAGTTTGATATTTTTATCCTTAGAGCACATTCACAGTTTTACTGCTAAATTATTAAGACAAATTAATGGGATTTCAGTTTAACCTAAGATTTCAGGACCTATTGAGACCACTAAAGTAGTCATCCATTTGTGAAGGAAGGCTTCAGAAAATCTGCCATTAAGTATGTGCCAGAGTATTTTATTTGTATGGAAATGTGTGTGCTACCCTTTTAGTGCCAACATGCTACCTATTACAATTGAAAACATATTGCAAAACATATATTCAACATCAATAATAAAAAAGTAAAGTACGGAGGCAGAAATGAATGGAAAAAACAACTTTTTTAAAAAAACAAGTTTTTTAATCTTTCTTTCTTTCTTTCTTTCTTTCTTTCTTTCTTTCTTTCTTTCTTTCTTTCTTTCTTTCTCCTTTAGAATACAGTGAATGGCTAAAATTAGCTTAATTCTCCAGGTCATCATACTGAAACAATTATTTATAAACTTTCCTCATTGTGTTCTTGTTTTTTTTCAAATTAATTAATTGTACTATATTCATCCCTATTTTTGCTATGAAGCAGAATTCAGGACAACTTGGGCAATATTCCTCAGAAAAATTGTTCCAGGGGAAATAATGATTCCATATTATCTCCTTATTGCCAGCAGTTGCTCCAACAAGATATTTATGATCCAGAGAATGCAAGTCAAGATAAAGATCTGATGAAGAGAAAAACTCCATACATCCTGAAACGACAATTACACGCTAATAAAGTCCGACGGCCATACATATTGAAGAGGAGTTCATATTACTGATTCAGCCTTTAAAATAATGTACATGTAGTTTATAACTAACTATGCTTTATGTCTCCCTTATTTCAACCTCAAATCTTATGTGTGGAAATATATTATGGAACGCAATCAAGATGATAACATAACTGTGTACTTTTTGCTATTATTGTTAGTTGATTGTGATGTTTTTCCTACTTAAAATTGACTGGACAAATACATTTACAAATAAATCTAGTTTGTAAGCATTATGTATTGTATGCCATTGATAATATTAAAGAATTGGCAATGCTATTTACTCTATACCGCATACCTGTTTCTACAAGTATGAAAGCATAGTTATATAAAAATTGCTTGTTTTATCATGTGCTATGTGATATACTATCCAGTCTTCATAAGCAAACAGATAATTACTTAAAATATTATTAATAATGAGTATTCCCATTAAATAATATAGAATTAATAAATTAATAACATCCCACTCAAATTCATTTGCTTGCATTCCAGCATAAGCTTATGGAACAGATGATGGTCATTGTTCAGAGTAAGTTAGGCACATTTAAATAATTGACAAATCAGATATTTCCTGATCAACACAATTCATGAGTAACAAAGGTTCATTCTGTTCAACAGCACTGACTTCCGTATACATAGGTTGGCAACGATAATTCATAAGTATATTAAAATAAATGCTAAGTTCATATCTTGTATGCATTTATGTCCATTGGACACTTGTTAGATGGAAGAATTTAAGATGTCCAAAATGGAATATAAAGTTTGGAGAATATTAGTGGCATATTGGTTAAACATCAGAGTTTTTTCCCTACAGCTAGTAGGAAAAACCACCTAACTATAGCCAAATATATTGTTGTAGCAGTTAAAGCAAAGTAACAACTAACGCCAACCATTACATGACAATTCTTTGATACCCTTTTTTAAACTCTTTGATTTTATCTGCTTGTATTTATTGCTTATCTCTCATTGTAGATAAAGAATTTGACATTTGAATTGGAAATGTGATTCCCTGTTATCAAAATATAAGGCAGATTTGAAAAGTGAAGGAGAAAATGCCTAAATGCTTGTTATACAGAAAATGATAGATATTATATAGATACACATATATACACTAACAATTGAAGAACCTTCTTGCTCCTTCTTTGGGGTTCATATTATAAAAATGCATCAAGATGAGGCTCAGCTAATAATGTTGTCGTGACAGTTCAGTAGCAAAATCTGAAGCCAGATTTCTTTGATTCTATTACCTAAGTTGTGTCTTCTATTAAATATGACCTTTCCCTCTCTGTTTTTCATCTGTATTCAAACACCTTATGATTGTTTATAGAAACTATAAAAGTGGTGTGCCTTATTCATAACATCTAATGCATGGATTTTCCTTTCTGGCCTATATTACCCATGGAGGGCTTGTTCCAGAGGTTTTAAGTTCTGAACCAGCTTAACTGAATCCCTAAACAAGGCAAAGGACAGTTGCATAACTAGGAACCAGCTATTACACTAGAAATGGGCTATCAATGGCTTGCAAGCCATGTGAGTCCTTCTGAGGCTTCATTAGGGCACCAAAGATCCCCTCCAGCATCTTGTTATTGAGCCACTAAAGTTTGGTAGTAAATAAACCGTACATTTTCTCCTCAAGAGTCAAAAGACCTCCAGAAGACAAAATGCTTTGCTTTGTAGTCTTATTCCAAAAAATTGGGAGGCAGAGCTATGGCCTCCCTCTCCTCACACATTGTTCTTTGCCCTCTTATACATACTGTACCTCTACTAATCTTTTCCAGATTCTAAAGGCCCCTTTTTATACTTCCTACTGTCTTCAAACCTCAACTTCACTGAACTTTAATAACATTTGTTTAAGTTATTGAATATTCTTCCTCTACAGTTTTGTATTTGTTCTTTTCATATTCCATTTATAAAATATATGTTGGGTTACCAGAGGCATAGCTGGGTTACCAAATTAGATAGCATAAGCAGTACTTCTGTATAGATCAATGAATTAAATAGTATCTCTGCCAGGAATACTTCTATTTCAAAGTACAAAGAAGGCCTCTGGTACTTTTATTGCCTGGAATTCTGGAGTATGCAAATGTACAGTATCTATAGGCATATTTGCATAAAAAATAGACTCCTTTTGAAAATGTTTTTGTTGTAAACATTGCATTGCTAAATACATTGTTTTCCTCTTTTTCATAATTTTCATAGTGCAGACACATTGGACATGTTCCAACACTGACTCTAAACCATGTCCGCAAAAGTGTGGCAAGGGAGGGAAATAACAAAACATAGCATGGTCTGCAACTTTCACACTTTGCATTTGTATGCAACTTCATGAAGTAAATATGAAACAATAGAAAATTCATTATGATGGCACAATATATTTTAATTATCTTGGTATCATCTTGCTCCATGAACTTATGTTCCCCTTCCTTCCTTCCTTCCTTCCTTCCTTCCTTCCTTCCTTCCTTCCTTCCTTCCTTCCTTCCTTCCTTCTCAAAAACCTCAATATAAAAACAAAAAGACTAGTTTTTCAAAGAAGTACATAATATACATTAACAGTTTTACTAAATGTATCAGTTATGGTAAGATTTTAATGATACGGATATTACAACATTATTATTGGTAATAATTTTACTGCTAAACTGTAAAATAACAAGTAAAACCTAAATTGAGTTGAAGCAATATTTATTATGGGAAGAGTCTTCCTATAAGCTGAGAGAGAGAGAGAGAGAGAGGTGGGGGGGGGCTGGATATTCTACTGGAGATTTACTTTGTCCTCCACTCTATTCTTCTGTCATGTGTTCTTTTATAATTTGGTTGTGGAGTTCATTGACCATTATGTACCACTAGTGATATATGTTCTTCTGGTGTTTTGCTGCCCTCTATTCAAAGATTTTTAGTTGTGCTAACTAGAAAACCCATGGCTTTTGCAAAAGTCTCAACTTCAGCAGTCTAGAGGTACTTGAGTAGAAACAAGTTTGGATATACCAAATAGAAATAGATTCTTCCTTAACAAGTTGTCAACAGCTACTTTCAGAGAATACTTTGACCTTGGCATAATATCTTTTCCCACTGGAATCACTAATGACCAGCTCTAAGCAATAAGCAAGTTAATATTGAAATAATTGGAAAAGACTGAAAATATGAGTTGATTCCATTTCTTTTTATCACATACACACAAGTTTTGTTGTAAAATATAATAAACTAAAAGTAAATCTTGAAATATCTACATACAGTACATTATCTTTCCCTCTTCTCTCCTGTCTTCATATGGTTATTGCACAGTTGCTGCTGCTATTATCATTGGTAAGTAAAGTAATGGAAAAGTATGTTTTGTCAAAAACAGGTTCTATTATTCTGGATTCTTTTGCAAGGACATCTGTGGACTAAGAATCATCTGCATACTATTCTCTTCATGCTTTTGATAGCCATTCTCCACTGGCATCATCACTGCTACTTACTTTTGGCTCTATAGGCATCTCTCTGTAAGATTTGCAAAACAATTCAGAGATGTTTTGGGTATGATTGTCACTTTGGCAGCTTGCCTTTGGCACAATGAAGCAGCAATTCTAGGCAAGAGATGAGAAGCACAATGAATGGCATTTGGCTGCAGTTCACTATTCATCCCAAGTCATCAAGTCAAATAGCTGCTTTATTTTTCCTCATGGAACGGCTGGTCTTGAACAGATTTATTTAATTCTATTCAACTGATAATGCTGCCCACTTGCTATGTATCTCTATTTAGAAATATCAGCTACAAATGCAAGTAATAAAATAAAGAAAAATAAAATAAAGCACTGAGAACCAGACCATATATAGTTACAACTGGCTCATATAGCACCCTGGAGTAAGAACAAGGAGTTCAGAGTCTTTTTAAAGGTTAGCAGGGTCAAAGTCAACTGAATTTTTTGGGAGGGAGGCTGTACCATAGGGCAAGACTTCTCCTGGACCATATAATGTTACACTATTTAATTGATGGGATCCAAATATCACACTCTCTTGGGTCTAATCAGACAAGCAGAGATAATAGAAGGCAGAAGGTTTTGTACATACCCTTGGTCTGTATCATGTAGAATGTCATAGAAAACCAATAGCACTTTGAATTTTACCCAGAGGTCCCTTGGTAATCAGTGCAGCTCACAAAGTAGTTGTGTTACATGGGTAAACCAAGATAGGCCAATAATTTCTTGCACTCCCACATCCTGAATTAATTGCAGCTTTTGAGTGGTCTTCATGGATAGCCCATGGAAAGCATGCTGCAATAACATAGATGAGACAGGTACAATTTTGATAAGTTAACAACTCATCACAAATGTTGCTTACTCTTCAAGTATTATATTTTTATACATTTTAATTTGATAGTAGCAGATCTCAAATGTTGATCCACACCACCCATCAATCTGGTCACTCTGAATTTTTCTAGTCTGAGAAAGAAACAAGAAAAGAATATGTCTATTTTTTCCACATTATATATAATTTGCAAAAAATAGAAGAAAAATGAGATCACTATAGTATTTTGGAGGTTGAACTGGGCAAGTTTTATTTTCATTATGTAAACATTCCAGTTCCCTGGATGTGAATTTAATTTCATTTATGAATAAATGTTTATAATTTTTTTGTCTGTTATGGAGCTGCCAAATACTTCTATATATTTTCTAGCTGAATAATTCAACACTTAAGAACACTTTGTTCAAAACTGTCTTGTTTTACATTTGTTTAATCATCTGCCTTCTTGTCTAGTTTTTCCAGATCATACTGGCTAAATGTCACATTCTTCAAGTTCTGAATGGATTTATTCTTTTTGCAATTTAAATTGAGTTTTTCTGCCACTTGGCATTGATTCTTACTAGAGTAAGTTTTCTGCTTTTCCTGATTTGTTGTTTAAAGATTTCAACTCCAATCAAACAGGATTAGAACCTAGCGAGCAGGCAAGCCCACGGACCCAAGAGCCTTGGTACCACAGGATTTTCTTTTTTCCTCTGTCTGCAGTTATATAGTACAATTTTATATCACAACACTCTACAAAGGCTCATGGTGAATATTATTGAAAGCAATAATAAAAGTTAAGGTTGAGTCTATCTGAAATCCTAATGCTTTGTGGGCTTTGCTTTCCTGTCACTCTTTATAAATCATCAAAAGGGAGAATTTCATGAACTGAAGCTTTAGATGGCAACTTTGAGCAAAAATCAGTGAGAATGTTGCTTTCTACAATGTTAGAATCTATTAATCAATATTCAGCTAGAGGGAATATTATGTGTATATGTGTTGGGCTTTTTTTAATGCACATTTTTCTTTTTTTAATTGTTTTGTGTTTTTTGACTTTTTTTCTTTGGATTCTTTTTTTTTAGTTCTGTATTTTGTATTTTATTCTTTTTTCAAACAAAATAATATATATATATATTTTAAAATATACTATTTGAGAGCAACACATTATGTTTGACTTCATATCATGGCTATGGAGAAGTTCTGCCAGCTTCTGCTCACTTAAGGATTCATTGAAACACAGTTTGACAGGAGATGTCAAAATGTTTGCATGCAATTGTATAAACATACCTAATGATTGATCTGGATATATTTAATGATATATATTACTGGTAACAATGATATCAATTGATATCAATATCATGATCTCAGACTTTGCAGTATTTGAATGGTAATGTATGAATTGAAATGAAAAGGAATACAGTGGCTAATATGAACAAGAATTTAAGCTGATATTAATCTTAGCAGAGATTGTTTCATCCTTACACATTTGCAACAATTATCTATATAGTAAACATTGTATGAGGTAATGCATTTTGTGACTTAAAATCCAGAGAACTCTAAATATTCTATCTAGGTCTAGGACTTTTTAATCACTGCAGCAGTGTTAAATTCCAAGAAAATGCAATGTTCACTGTTAATGAATTTAATAATAATAACAAAAGAATAAAGAACTAAGTAAAAGTAAAAGCCACCGTTCTGATAACAAAGAACAAAAGGAAGGTACATGAGGGTTCTACACCAATCTGAAAGCAGTTTTATAGCTCTGGGTTTCTGTAAATTCCGCTCAAGTAGAACATTGACAGGAATTATTTCCACTCAGATGTAATGTGGCTGAAATTATTGCATGGTTTGTTGTAGTAGTGGTTTCGAAAGACATTCTGCATTGGTTTCACTTTTGGCAGCAGCTTTTTCTTCCCCTATCTTCCTGGTTCATAAATTATAGATGCTCTCAACAGGTATGCCAGCTTAGTGGTTTGCAGTTGCTCCTCCGGAAAATCAACAAGAGTTTGTTAATTATTGATTTTCTTCAACAACAGAAAGTGGATTTCAAATCACTAGGCAACTGAAAGGTTTTCCCTTCTTTTTCATTGGAGTGGAG